ATCGTAGGCTGCAATCCACAGGAGAGTACGCGAGAGCGGTCCTCGAAGTGGGTGAGGCAAAGCAAGTAAGGCAGTTGTAGAAGTCCTTTGGGGTTCTTAATTGCTGTTGTTGTTGTATTGCAATCAGATACCGGTTTTGAACATCTTTGATGAAATGCAGAAGGACGCGGCTTGGCGATCCTTCTTGAGAGATGGCCTCCACTTCAGCCCACTTGGCAGCAGATGGTTTTATGAGGCTTTGATTCGCCTCATCAATAGAAACTATCCCGACATCGCGGTCGAAGTAAAAACGACAGTGTCAAGGGGAAATATGTGCATGATCAACTACATGTGTCGCTGACAACACGAAAATTGTGAGAAAATTTTAGGAAATTCTTGTTGATTCTCGATCACTCCTACCCTAATTCCTATACAAACTTCGATAATGAGTGAGGAAACCCCTGAACTATGCGAGGAAATTTGAGAAATTTCTTGGTGAAGTTATTGAAGACGTTTTCCTTCCTCGAGGTGGCCATAACTCCACAATGGCCTTTCGAACATCTCAGCCAAGTCAACTGTAACCGATATACTACCTAATCACTCACTGCTTGCATCCATTAGGAACATGCGCGACCAATGATAACTTCATCCAGCTCTTACCGTAAACCCCCCAAGTGCTACTATCACTACCGCTCGTCCTCCTCCACAACCACTTAGAGCCCTCAGAATTAGCCAAGTAGAGCGTATAGGGCTTGACCATATACTTCCGATATACACTCATTGTGAGATGAACACCCCTCATCATGGAAGGTCCGCTTACCGTCAACACAAGGCATACACCAACCACCATCGCAGTGACTTCAACTAGGCTTTCCTAAGGTATATCCAATAAAGACTTCGATGACACAAAACGGTGTTGAAAATTTCATATAATATGTAAACTAGCGGATGTATGATATGCCCGATTTCCTCAACTGAGCTCAAAACCTCCCACCCCACACTGTAAAGATTCACTCACGATAAGGAGTAAGAATGACAAAAAACCAACTAGAAATCATCACACTTTCCTCATTGACGACAACCTACCTTCCCGCGCTGCATTCCCTCCATAACTCACATTGGAACATCTACCGTAATTATTCTCAATGTCTTAGCCTCCCATCGTTGCAAACCTCGGGCCTTCCACACCGCCTCACAGACTAACAC